TTTTACTGGCGGTTGGAATCTGGACTAGGTTTTCCCAGGTTCTTGGCAACTTACTCAGAGAACTGAAAATGAGGACTCACACAGATCTGCCAAAGAGACAAAGTGAGTTTGTCTGGAGCAAAGAAAGCGTTAACACAGATTATGGGGGAATACACTGTCAGGAGTGTCAGCTGGGCACGTAAGTGAGAGAACAGTGCAACAGGAATCTTAAAAGGTCTTATAATAATAATAATAAAAAAAAAAACAGAGCCAGATATTGGGGTGAAAGCTGGAAGATCAGAGAAGCAGAACAGCCGGCCACTGGCTTACCTCTACGGAATCTTCAGCCCCAAGAGAGTGAGTTCCTGTTTCCTCATGCCTTATATACCTTTCTGTATCCTGCCATATTACTTTCTGGGATTATAGGTGTGTGTGCTTCCCAGCACTGAGATTAAAGGTATGTGCCACCACTGCCTGGCTCTGTTTCCAGTGTGGCCTTGAACTCACAGAGATCCAGACGGATCTCTGCCTCCTGAGTGATAGGATTAAGGCTGTGTGCCACCACTGTATGGCCTCTATGTCTAATCTAGTGGCTGGCTCTGTCCCGTGATCCTCAGGCAAGTTTATTAGGGTGCACAATATATCACCACAGAAGTCAGAGGTATACACTGTCAGGGCCATCAGCGGGCCACATAAGAACTCAGTTTTCTTTTATGAGATTCAAGATGGGAAGAGGCTGGTTATTAAGGGGTATAGTTTGGGTAGTTTTCTATTTTGGTTGATAGATTAGGTCATTTTTCCTACTGTACTTGCTTGTCCTTTCCCAGTGCATCTGGTTTTTAATCAAGGGCATGCCTAATTATGCAAAGGCATAGGCTTGAGATGGTAAACAGAGGATTCCCCCTAAAAGTTTACTGGTAGAGGACACAATTTGTCTTACTGTGAATGTATCCCAAACCAGTTCAGACTGGATTAGTTCTTCTGTTTTTCATACTAGAATATGTTGGGAATACACTTGAATAGAAACTGTCTAAATCAGATTGTTATAAGGGGCAGGGAAACTTATGCTATTGTTCAGAGATGAGAGTATGTGTGCCTGATACGGAGGTCGGGGGATAAGAGGGTTCTGAGGTTGCCAGGTTCATGGTTTGGAGAGGAGTGTGTGTGTGCATAGCATGTGCAGGTAAGGGAACCAGGCTGCCAAGGGAAATGACTGAAAGAAGAAAGTGTGTACAGCCCCAAACGGATAGGGTCCCGGGGTCCTAAACTACCTGCCTCCAGTCTATTGGAGAAGTCATGAATATGCAAAGCCATCAAGTAGTGGGAATGAGACCCCCCCCCAGCTGCTTCAGTACACCATTCACACAATTTGACTAGGCCTGAGTCACTCATGGGTGGAGTCATGACATCAATCTCATCCCCAAACGTATGCAGGGTGACATACAGACACGTTTCATTATAGTCGAGTGAGGCGCTTTCATTTAAAAATAGGAGCAGAAGGGTGGAGCGGAGAATTAGTGCTGGACCGTCATTAAGTGGGTGGCTGCCTTGCAGAAGAAAGAGGCTCCCAGTTGGGGAAAGCAGAGCTGTGATTAGGCACACAGGGGACTGGTGTGCTTCCTGGAGCTGGCTGGCTTGGCTAGAATTCTTGTTCTGTCTGGGGATTATCGTTAGCCATCCTTTAACAAGGCCTGCTCTAGGTGGTGGAGCTTAAATGGAACTCCACATGGGGGGAAGAACATTTAATGAGCGAGGAAAGGAACTTAGCCTCTCCTATTCTGGCTATTGGTGAATTCTGAAATCTGGGCATTTTTCTTTCTAACCATTGCCGTTTCCCAGTTGAGGTCATCACCAGCTGTCACCTAGCCTACCCTGGTATTCTCTCTGCTCAACTTCAAGCTCTCCTACCTCCCCCCCCCCCCCCCCCCCCCCCCCCCCCGTAGAAGAAGACAGGATAGTCTTCCCCGATCTCAAACTCGATCCTGCTCTCCTGCTCCGCCTTCACTTTGGGGTGATGGCCGCCTGCCATCAGTGTGACACCCAACTTCCTTCTGCAGCTTATGAGGTAGCAGATGACCTCACCTGACCTCTGTGGCTTTATCTGGTCTCACTGCTCTACTCCCTGGGTTTACAGGCTTCCGGACCCAGCCTGAAAAGTCACAAAATCTCTCTTCAGTCATATTTAAGTCAGATGTCCAGTAGCTATCCTCAACCCTTGACCTCTTCCTCACACATTACTAATACCTATCCCCAGTGTGGTCCTAGGGTTAAAGGCAGAGGGACAGAGCAGCTACTGTGCTGCTATAATAAATAATCTTAAAAGCATGCATTATATTATATACTTCACAGTAGCTGTGTTCGAGGACAGTGAGGTGGCTCAGCAGATGCTTGCAATTAAGCCTGATGACCTGAGTTCAGTCCCCCAGATAAAAGTTGTACAAGTAGCCGGGCGGTGGTGGCACACGCCTTTAATCCCAGCAATCGGGAGGCAGAGGCAGGTGGATCTCTGTGAGTTCGAGGCCAGCCAGGGCTACAGAGTGAGTTCCAGGAAAGGCGCCAAAACTACACAGAGGAACCCTGTCCCGAAAAACAAAACACAACAAAACAAACAAACAAACAAAAGGTCGAAGTAGAGAATCAGCTCCTGAAAATTATCTTCCGCATGTATGCTGCAGCATACGCATGCCCCTTTCCCACTAAAATAAAATGTAATAAAGATGTTAAAATTCTTTATTTGTTGGCACCATACAGCGCTGACGACTCCTGACACTCTGGGTGTTTGCACTGTGCAGTATTTGACCAGGATCAAAGGAAGTATGGGAAGAAGCTGACATCTAAAGTCATCGTTTATACTTTTGGGAGCCTCCTGGAGGTCTGCTGGGTAATTACAGCTCCTCAAAGTCCTGGGATATCTAATGACAGCTTAGTGTGTGCTGGCTTTGCTGTTCCTGGTGGCAGTGGTCCATGCGGGAGGTAGCTAAGAGGTGGCTTAAAGCCACCCTAGGGTATTGTGGTGGTATTGTGCTCCCCAAAATATTGTGTACCCTAATAAACTTATCTGGGGTCAGAGAACAGAAAAGCCTCTAGATACTTAGGATAGGCAGTGGTAGCACACGCCTTTAATCCTAGCATTCCAGAGGCAGAAATCCATGTGTTCAAGGATATAACCAAGCATGGTGACTCACGCCTTTAATCCCAGAAAGCAAGCCTTTAATCCTAGGGAGTGATGGTAGAAAGCAGAAAGGCGTGAGGACCAGAAACTAGAAGCATTTTTGCTGGTTAAGCATTTGGCTGGTTAAGCTTTTAGACTTTGAGCAACACAGTTCAGCTGAGAGGCATCCAGTCTGAGGAAACAGGATCACCTGAGGAATTGGCCAGGTGAGGAAGCTGTGGCTTGTTCTGTCTCTCCAATCTTCCAGAGTTCACCCCAATACCAGGCTCCAGGTTTGATTTTATGAATAAGAACTTTTTAAGATTCATGCTACAGGGTATTGTTTAGATTTTCACCCAAGAAATAGCCCAGGGACTGGGGAAGGGGAAACCAAGGCACCTACTTGATCCTCCCCAGGGCTGGCCTCCCAGGCTTCTAAGGATCTGCCAGGTAGCAGATAAGCACCATTTTGAAGCTTAAGGCCACCACTAGGTGGCCTCACTCAGGTTATATTGCCTGCCCTCAGGTTCTGGCCTTCAGAATTGGGACATAACCATTTTTCTCAGTTCCTAGGAAGAAGAGGAGCCTGGGGTACATGCAGGGTTAGTCCTAGGGCCCAATGGAAAGACATATCCTATAGATATGTATGCATGTATATATATAATATACATATACGTACATACATACATAGGTTAGATATGTACCAAAAGATACAGTGCTCTCTGTGTGTCATGGCTTGACTCAGGAGGGATGACCTGGGAAATGCCATCTAAGACCAGGAGTTTGTAAACCCTGACCAGACCTATAACTGCTGCAGTATTTGCCAAAGCCTCAGCCACCAGCAGCTAAGGAAGTTTCAGTGCCGGGACCCCAGCTTGCCTGCTCCCCTTGCCCAGGATAGGAACCACAGGCAAGTGGAGGCAGGAGAGGCTGAGGAGCCCCTGTTTGGAGGAAAGGACTGCATGCCCAACTGACCGCTCACTCATCCAGTCCTCTATTTGCCCAGCACAGAGGTTCTTGCTTCCCCTTGTGGTAACACTAGGTCTTTCCCTTGGGGTGGGGAGGGGGAGGACGAGTCAAGGAGCTGTTGGTCAGGGATGTCACCTAGGGACAGGGAAGTCCATGGGAGATGGTGATTTCCTTTCCCGAGACAGAAGAAATGTTGGAGCAGAAGCAGTCTGGGTGGTGTGGGGTGCTGTGCGATGTTTCACTTTATCTATACCTATGGCTGGGGAGTCCTTGTAAGGGACTTCCCTTTGACATTGCAACATGACATAGTCATCTGCAAATCTGCAAGTTTACTCTCTCAAGAACCGAACAATTGAGTTCACACACACACACACACACACACACACACACACACACACACACACAGCTTTCATGTTTTAAGTAAGTTTCCAATTTTGTGTTGGGTTGAAATCATAGGTCTCTTTGGCCAACTTACATACAGAGGGGTCAGCAGGGCACACTCATGGCAGACAGCAATACAAAGTGCTCTACCTAGGTGTAGTGTCTGTAGCGAGGGTGTCAGGGTATGGGGTTTCTATAAAAGGAAATTGGCTCAGACCTGTGCCTAATTCCTTTCAGTGTTTTGGGCAACAACTTAAGTACTTTTATTAGTGCCAGGAATGTTAAGGCCCCAGCTTAAGTTCAAGTGTGCAGGTGAAAGCACACGGCTGGTTGCATCACAAAGTAGCCGAGGCATTTTGTACTTCTTGGGAGAGAGAAGAAAGTAGGGGATTATTGGCCGTAAAGAAAAGGCTATGACCAAACTCAAATTAGAAGATAGGGTGAAATAATAAAGATCAGGACAGAAATCAATGAAATGAAGACAGTATTAGTTACCTTTCTGTTGCTGTGATAAAACACCATGACCAAGGCAACTTCAATAAGGAAGAGTTTATTTAGACTTAGGGTTCCAGAGGGATGAGAGTCCATCGTGGCAGGGAGGCATAGCAGCAGGCGCAGGGGGCTGAGAGCTCACACCCTCAAACACAAGCGCAATCAGAAAGAGCAAGCAGGAAGTAGCTATATCATCTCAAAGCCCGCCTGCAGTGACACACTTTCTCCAGCAAGTCAGCGCCACATATCCCTCCCCAAACAGTGCTACCAAGTGGGAGCCGAGAGTTCAAATACCTGAGACTATGAGGGACACTTCTCATTCAAACCACCACAGACGCTAGAGAACAATACAGAGGATCAGTAGAACAAAGAGCGGGTTAAACAAGATTAACAAAGCCTTAGCTGTGTTAGCATCTTAACCAAAGACAGAGGATGCAAATTAATAAAACTAGAGATGAGGAAGGAGATATTAACATACACTTCTACTACCACTGAAAGCCGGAGGGTCACTGGGGAACATTCTGAGCGCTTGAATTTTAACAAAGTGGAAAGTCTCCCAGAAGCACATTCCTAGACTCCTATGAATTGTTATGTTGGTTAGTGTTCATTACCAACTTGATGGAATTTACACTCACGTAGGAGATACAGCTCTGGGTGTGTCTTTGAGAGCATTCCCAGAAAGGCTTAACTGAGGACCCTCTCTGGATGTGAACAGGATCGTCTCACGGGCTGGGGTCCTGGGATGAAGAAAAAGGAAGAGAGGAGACGGAGAGCTGAGCACCAACGCCCATCTCTACCTGCTCCCTGGCTGTGGACACCATGTGACCAGCCTCCTTATGCCTCCATGACTTCCCTGCCATGACAGCTTGTCCCTTCAAACTGTGAACCCAAACAGAACTTGCTTTCCTACAGCTGCTTTTGTGAGGTATTTTATTATAGCAATGAAGAAAGTAACTAATAGACACACTAGCAGTGAGCCAAGAGCATCTAAACAACCTAAACAAATAAATAAATATCGATAATATTAGAGCAGTAATAAAAAGTATGCCAGCAAAGAAAAGTCCAGGACCTGATGGCTTCACTAAACTCTGCCAGACTTTTAAAGAACTGATACCAGTGCCACTCAAGTTGTTCTATAAATCAGGAAACAGCACTTTCAAATCATTCTATAAATTCACGTTACCCTGATACCGTAGCTGGATAAAGGTAAAAACAACAAAAGAAAACTATTCCCCAATTACCTTCAGGAACACAGATGCAAAATCCCTCAAATAAAGTATTTGCAAACTGAATTAAACAGTGTCTTGAAAAGAGAGAGCATCCACCACGTGAGGGTGATTTAACATGGGTAAAACAATAAACATAGTTTGGAGCTGTTGCAGAGCGAGAAGCCTTGAGAGGTAGATCAAGAAGATAGCTTTTGCGTGCGTGCGTGGTTGGCTGAGGAGAGATGCACAGTAGGTGGTGGGGTGAGCTGAGGGTTATGTTTCCACAGCCATGGCTTGAAGGTATTTATAGGCCAATGGGAAAGATCCCATGGAGAGGAGGAGGATGACCTCCCAAGAGATTAGTGGGGAGGCATGGGAAGACCTGGGCAGACTACTTTCTGTGGCATAGCAGACGCGCGAAGGTTTGTGTTTGGCTTCATCTGAGCTCTGGCTGGTGGCTGACCCAGACACGGGGAGCGGCTGAGTGGCGGCGTTTTCTGAGTTGTGTTTTGGTGTGTCTGCCTTTCCCAGTCTGGGCTGTCCGCCTGGCCCGTGCCGTTATAGGGAATCCACACCCGGCTCCAGGCGCAGTCCCCAGGCCGGGCATCTCCGCTCTGGGCTCTGCTCCCTGATGAGATTCTCAGACTGCTTCCCCTCATTCATGAAGAGGCAAGCTCACAGGGCAGGCGTGGGAACCTGCTCGGCCGCCAGGGCATCCTTCAGTTCAGACTGAGGTCGGCTGCTTCCCTTTCTTCTTGGCTGTCTGTCTCTCAGACCCGGCGGGCTGGCTGAGGTGTCCAATCTCTTTGGCCCGCGTGATAAGCCATAGGTTGGCTCCAGGATGCTCCAGGATGCTCTAGGCTGTGGCAACTTCTTCACTTCACATCGCCAGAAAAGTCCTAGCCGGGCCAGCCCGGCCCCCTCAGAGATGCAGTTAGGCTTTGGGGATGGGTCGTCTGCATTGGGCGCATCCCAGACCCTCTTCTTCCTCAAGCCTGTCCCCTCCTGGGACACTCAGTTCCCGTCCTCAGTGACGCCATCCTCCTGCAATCTGCCGGTTGCGATGGATGTGGGGGTGGTAGGACCACAGAGGACGTGGGCAGGCGGGGGTGTGTCTGGGGCCTGGGGATGGCTGGGCTGGGGAGGTCGCTCCTCGTGCGGGGTCCCACGCGGCACAGGGAGGCGGGCACCGCATACGTGCAGCGCGTGGCGGGCAGCTCGGGCCTTTCCCGGAGGCTGCAGTGGCTCGGAGCCAGGCCCAGGCGGGCCCGGGGGGCGGGAGGTGGGGACGTGGCGGAGGCTCAAGCGGGCGGAGCCTCGGACGAGGGAGGAGCCGAGCGCGCCGGGGCGACGCCGCGGGAGGTTCTAGAAACGCCGGCTGCCGCGCGTGTCCAGGTGAGCGCGGGGCTGCGGGGTCGCCCGCGGGGCTGGGCTCGGGTCCGGGTGGCCGGGCGGTGCGACCTGCCCTGCGCGGAGCCGGGAGCTGAATCCGGGCTCACGCAGCCCCGCGCCCCGTGCCCCGCGCCCTGATTCTGCACCCGCCTCGGTTCCTGTCCCGCCCGCGTCCCGTCCCAGGGTCAGGGCGGTGTGATCGGCGGCGCCCTTCCTGCCGGTTCGGCTCGGCGGGGCCGGACACTTGGCTGGCCTGTCGGATCAGGCTCCCGGGAAGGGGCGGCCTGACCCCAGGGTCGTCCCCGATCTAAGGCGGAGGCGCCCTCCTGGCCCCGGAGGGGGCGCTGCTTAGGGTGAGGGAGACCTGCTCCTCTGGCTCCCAAGCCTGGCAGGGACCAGCTTGGCGCCTGCTGGTTTTATGCTCTATTATATCAGAAAGCCTCCTCCTATCTGCCAGACATCCCTGTCGAACCTCTGATGTTTTCCCTCAGTAGTTACGGAGACCCGTGGTGATTTGGTGACCGATTCAACAAACAGCTTTTCGTGTGCCCGGAGACTGCAAGGACAGAAGGAGGCAGAGGGAAGACTCAGAAAGTTCAGGTCCAGAGCAGCAGCAAGGTAGGTATTGAGTTGGTAGGGATCTTGGGCTGTGTGGACTTGGTGAATGTTTGGATGCCTCAGGACAGGAGGCAGGAGCTTCTTTGGACTGGAGTGGTCCCCTAGAAACCTGGACTGAGGAAGCACCCGAGTGGCCACAGACTTGGGCCAGTATCATCTTTGTGGTACTCGAGAGGAAGCAAGGTGATGGGGGAACGGCCGATGTAGGGAGCAGTTGTCCAAGGGCCCCACCCACCAAGGAGTGAGAAGCCTGCATGTGGAGGAGTCCACTGAACCGATGAAACATGAACATAGGTCAGAGCACGTCTGTCCCGGGTGGTCACTGGGTGGACACAAGGGGGTGCGTCTGTCATCTGTGTTCTAATGTAACATTTACTATGCTGTCGGAGAGCATTGAGTTGCTCCTGAGACAGCCCCCTAACCCCACAGTTTAATCACACTTTAAGACTTGCGCTTGATGCAGACTACCTGGTTGCTGACATCGTAGCCCTCCTGTTGGAAGGGCTTTCTGGTCCTAACAGCAGGGTCTGGGTCACCACTATGTAGCTTATGGCACCCTCAAATGTCCTAGGCGTTGGATGTATAGGGTGCTACTCAGAACGCGTGGGGGCTTTTGCCAGCTGTTGCTTGTTCTGAGTTGATATCCCACCTGCGCTGATATCTTGGTTGAGTTCTTTGTTAAAGTGACCAGGATTTCCTCTGACTTGTACCTCAGCTGCCTCTGAAGTGTCCAGGGTGTAGTCTCTCACCATGATTTTGTGCCTCAAGGCCCAGCCTCTGGGCTCCTCTCCATGCACAGGATGTTTGACCTCTGGATTCTTTTCTTCTGGGGCCTTCTTGTTCTCACACGGCCAAGCTCGTCCACTGTGTGGCCCAGCCAGTGAAGCCACGTCGCAAGGATGGAGTTGGCTGGAGGCCTTATCCCGAAGATTCTGTCATACTAACCCTCCTTAGCGCTTGGAGAGCTCATCAGGCAGATGTGGTGACAACTCACTGAAACATTGTGTGTCGCCTTTGATGTTCCTTCTACGTTGTCACAGGCTCTGCAGTGACTTACTTATCTGTAGATTGGACTGCCCACAATGGATTGTGGGTCATTCCTTGAATACTGTATGCTTGGTATCTGGCTAGAACGTCCCTGGGACTGGCTAGAATAAGGGAGAAGGGAGAGGAGGTGGAGGAGGCATTCTTTTTGCCCATAGGCAGCTCCTCATCTCTCTGAGATTGCTGTTTAGCACTGGCCTTGGCCCAGGGAGGAGCCGTGTGTGTGGGTGCTCATCAGAGGGAGACCGGGTACATGCAACTCGGGGGAATGAGTGGAGAGAGGGAATTGAGGGTTTCCTCATCTCCTGAGAAAGCTTCCCTTTTTGACTGCACCCTCCCACATCCTTGGGAGGGTTTGAGGCTGGACGAAAGGCCTTGGCTGACTTGTGGCCACGCTGGCTGATAGTGTGCAGAGGACTGGGAGGTGTGTCCCTGGCTTCTGGGATCTGTCAAGAGCTTAATTTTATGCAGATGGAGGTTGGCAGCAAATGCTGTAATGCAGGCACGTGAGAGACCAGTGGAGTCTCGGATAGGAGTTCGTCTCTGAAAACGTCATTCAAATCTAGTCCTTTAGACCTTGGAAGTGCCTGAGGGTGGGACACCGGCCTATCCCAGAGCAGAGCGAACTTCCGAGTCCTGTGGTCTGTGTGTTTTGCGCTGGAGACATGGAGTGAGGAGTAGACAGATAGTTTTTCTTCTCAGTGAGAGCAGAGCAGGATGAAAAGGTCTGGGCTGGACTTCTTAGGGGAAGAGGTTTTGTTCAGCTGGTACCACTGCAGGGCAGAGGATCAAGTGTTGGATAGTGATTTCCCTGGCTCTGATAGGACCTGTGTGAGCCTGGTCCTGGCCAGCCTCTGCTCCAGACTTCTTGGGAAGTGTTTGCTAGAGATGGTCTGCTCTGTACCTGGCACTCCTGGGAGCCAGGGCATGGTGGAGATCCCAAGACTTGTACTCGGAGGAGCCTGGAATGAGCAGGTCAGGAGTACAGACGTATAAGAGATTTTTGGAGTATTGGTTCTGCTCCTTGCCTTTTGCCAGGGAACTTTCCTTGGGGGGCTTTAGGGCCTGTGATTAGATAATTCCAGGGTCACCTCCGAGTGCTGTGTACTTGGTGACATCTGATTCCGGCCTCTTTCTGAGTTGTATATGTCGTGTCTTCTGGCATTCCTGGGCTGCAGACATCACTCACCCTCTGGTGTTCCCTGGTGTCTGACGTCTTCACTGCCCCCTCAGAGGAACCTTCCTCACTCCAAGAGCAGCTAACCTGAGCTGAGCAACTGCCCACTTGAGGGTCCCTCAAGTTCTCTTGGTGCTGATGATTGGTCAGAATCAGCCCAGTGATTGGCAGCTTGCCGACACCTGTCATCGAATTCAGTTCACAGACAGGCCTATCAAGTGTAGGATGTGGTATGATCTCCATCGTATAAATAATAAAATTAAAGGATCAGGAAGCCTAGGACTTGTCCAAGGTCACAAAGCCAGGAAATGACAGTTGGAGCTAGAATTGAACTCTGGATCTTTCCTACCCCGGGGCAGGTATATTTACCTGCTCCTTGGCTGTCAGAGCTGGGCTGGCTGATAATGTGTCCAATGGAAATGACTACCCACTTGAATTCAGGGAACTGTGCCGTTATTTTTTGTCCATGGGCTCTCCTTTTCCTGGTGGGCTCCAATTAGGGATGTCATGGGCTTTATTTGTGAATCTTTGAGACACCCGTGAGAAAGCCTTCAATCCCACTTTCAGGAAGGCACATGTGCTGTGATGTGACATGCGTGAGGTTGGATGGTATCGGCGTCTAGCAGACAGGGGGCTTAGTTGGGGGGCTTCGCTTGCTGACGTATGTCAGGTGTATGGAGAGCCCTCCCCAGCTCAGTGACCTTTCTCATGTTTTGTACACTGCTCGGTACATCCTTATTCCCGATTTCACTCTTTAGCTTCCATCGTCCATGGTCAACCACAGTCTAAAACATGTATTGGAAAATAATAGAAATAAACAACTGTGAGTCCCCCAAGCCCTGTGATGGAATCTGTATCACTCTATGCTGGTCTTCCCAGGGTATCATTCCTTTGTTTAGTGTATCCATGCTGGATACACTACCCATTGTGAGACTCTCCAGCCTTTGTAGTCATTTGCTTATCAGGTTGACTGTATGGTATGAACAGTGATTGCGCTCAAGTAACCTATTGAATCGTGGCCCCAGCATGCAAGAGTAGCAACACCGACAATTTCATTTCAGTAAATTGTTACAGTTATTCTATTTTGTTCTGTTGATAAGCTCTCATTGTGTGTAATTTGTAAATTAAATTTTATCATAGGAATGTACTCACAGAGAAACCAGCATATACAGAGTTTGATACTATCTGTGGTTTTAGGCATGCACTGGGGTTCTTGGAATGTTTCCTCTGTGGACCAGGCAGGAGTATTGTATCTGAAGCAGAGATGATTATCTGGCTTACAAGGTTTTTGTGAGAATTAGATGGTAGAAATGAAAGATCTTTGGAAACATAAACCATGGTTATCTTAGACTGGATTCCCAGAAAACAGAGCCTGAGGCAGAGCTTAAGTGCTTAATGCTTATTGAAAAGTGTATTGAGGGGCAGCCGGGGTGAGGGGAAAGGAGAGAAGAATGGGAAACAAGGAGGTGGTACCTTAGCAAGCGGGTCCCTCTTTATGGAGATCTGCTAGCTCTTCAGCCATTTCAGGCCTACTTCTGTGTGCAAGCTCCGTGGGGACTCCATGCCGATGGACAATTTCTTACAGAAGGTATTTGAAGGAAGTATCTGCATTTCTTACAGAAAGTATTTGAAGGAAGTATCTGCATTTCTTACAGAAGGTATTTGAAGGAAGTATCTGCTGACTCCCTCTTGTATTTTATTTTTCATCAGCCAGAGTTGCCTCATAGGAAGTTAACTTTCCCTCACTGCTCAGTGTAGTTCTTCTGTAGCCACTTGAGAGGCTAGCCTGGAGGTAGTGGGAGGAACCAGAGAATCTGGTTTGGGTCAGCAGTGTCTTCTACCTGACTAAGTCAGAGTAGAAAGTTTGGAGCCTAGGGCATGGGTATGGATGCCTTTTATCTTCTGGTGCAGTTTTTTTTTTTTTTTTTTTTTTTTGTGCACACACGAGTTAAGTTCAACTAGGCCCTTTGTTGAAGCCCTAATGGGAAGCCAGCTCAGTGTTGGCATGTGGACCTTGGCAGCTTCTCTGCTGCTGCGCTGTCTTGTTACTGAAGCAGGAGGTGGTGGCTTTGATGGCTCCCGGCATCCATGGACTGAATAGAGATGGTGTAAGGACAGATACACTTCACCTGACACATGTGTCCTTGTCAGGCCCATTGAGCTTCCACTTTCCCTGACGACAGCGGTGAGACCACAGATCTAAGGCCAGAGAGTTCCGTGACTGACGGTTTTATGTGCTTTCTTGAATGGACACTGAGAGATGGGACTCGAGAGGACTCTTGGGAGAGGGGAGCACATTTGGCTTCACTGAGCAGAGATCTGGCTTTCGTAAGGTTCTTGGTGAAGGTAAATATTTTTTACGTGAAGTCATTGAAGGTTTGAGGTCTGCGGTGGCGCAGTGGGGCTGGAGGGAGGAGCAGGGCCAAGTCGCTGAGCTCCAAGGGCCCTTTGGGCTAAGGTATTTGGATAGTATCTTTCTGGCAGCAGGAGCCAAAGGGAGGGCTTCGGCAAGTCTTGCTGGCTGCTTTGTAGAACAGAGTTGGAGAGAAGCCCGTGCAGAGGTGGAGAGGTCAGAGCAGGTGGGGCCTGCATGGCTGAAGGGTATGCTGGAGGTAGATCAGGGTGATGGCTGAGGGATGATGTCTGAGACTTGGGTGCACTTCTGAGCCAGTATGGGTATCCATGTGCATCAGTGGTGGGACCTCTTGGATCCTGTGCACAGCCTCTCCTTGGTTGAGTACCTGGGTCCTCTCAGCTCTGCCAGCCTAGAGTTAGCCATTGTGTGGCAGGCAGGACCATGGTGGGAAAGGGGGTTGAAGAGCCCTGTTTGGGTGGGGGGCGGGGGTTATCCCTTCACTGAAGGCAAACAGCATTTTGCCCAGTGCCAGGTGAAATCTATTTGCAAATTCATGTTCTGTCTCTAGGCTGTTAAATGCTTTGTTAAAACACAAGCTGTAGCATTTGGGCTGCAGCTGGGAGCTTGGCAGAGGGTCCTCCCCGATGAGGTAAGGGGAGAAGCTGAGGACGCTGCTGGTTTGCAGCTGGAAACATCTTTCCATGGCTACTTGGCCAGGTTATAAATGTACTTTCCGAAGAGCAGGCTCGCTACAGGACCTCTGGTTGTATGTCTTGGAATCACCATGCTGAGAAATGGTGCCAGCTGCCTGGTGGGTGAATTACTGCCGCTGGGACATTGGCAGGTTTTGCAAGACCTCCCTATAGGGGTCCAGACACCGGGACTGCCAAAGCCCCTTTGGAGTTCAGTTGAGAAGGGCCTACTTTGTTTCCTTCACATATTAAGCATATTACAAAAATATGTACGTTTTAAATTCTAGTAGAATTTCTTGTAGAAAGATCAGGAAAACAAACATAAAAAAGAAAAATAAAATTACGTCACCAAGATACAATTATAATCCTTTTATATATTTATACATACATCATTTTTTCCTTTCAAAAACTGGAACATACAGTATGTGTTATTATTGAGGGGTGGCCTTGGCCAATCTGCTTTGATCATTCCGTGTTGATGGCCATGGAGTATTTATTGTTACATAGTCTATATTAATCTACTGCACAAAGTGTAAGCTCTTTAGTTGCAGTTTTTTCATCTGAACAAATCTGGATGAAGAATACTTCATTGGGTGCTTGCTACAGGACAGACATTGTTCTAAACCCCGAGGTGCAGCTCATAAATCTCAACTCTTCTCTTTTGGTGCTGTGTTTTCATAAAAGGGGATTTGACCATGACCAACTCCTGTGTTGCTCTTCATGGATTTCTGAGGGCCCCTGGGAAGGCTTTTGGCAGCACTGGCCCTGGACAGACATATGGATTCCCACTTTCTCTGTCCTGGGTGAGTGCTGGGTGTAGCTATGAGACGGGAGTTGGCATTCTGTATGTTGTAGAGTCCAGCTGCACTTGGGTAAATGCCTCCGCTCCACCTGACCCTGGTTAGGCGACCTTTTATACAAAGCCTTTTGACTTCAGGGATCCCGGAGTCAGAGAAATGAGCAGATGCCCCTGCTTAGAATGGTAGTGTTGATATGGCAGCCTGAGAGCTACGTGCCTTGGGGCACCTAGTTCTCAGGACTAGCAGGGTTTTCCTGCCTGTCTTCCCTTGCCAGAACAGGACTTTGAGGGCTCTTGGTAAGGCACTTCCTAAAGCCTGTGTGTGACTCTCTGAGGCTGTATCTCCAGGCCAGGATCTGTGGATGGGCTCATCTAAGCCAGACAGCACATTCCAGAGAAATGACAGCCGGCATTCACGTACTAAAGAAACCTGGCTGCTTTCTCTTTCTGCTGTAAGGTGTGAACCGTGGGTGGTATTAGAAAGAAGTGAAAAGGCTTCCCCCTTTCCTGACTAGGCTGCCTGACTTCTGACTAGGTATTCACTGGAACTGGCCACACAGCTGGGAGAGGCATGGAGCCTTCACTTCATCCAGATCTGCTCTGGTCTCCTGCCTGGCCCCTGCTCTCTTATCACCCCCACTCTGACAGGCAGTTGGCTGGCCCCTACATCAGAGATCCTCCTGACTCTGAGATTTTCCTTCATAGCATTTGTGTTTCATTTATTTTCTTTGCTTTTTTCTAGTAAATTTCCATCTGAGCCATGTCAGAGACTTGGCTGAGTTGGAACAAGAAGAGGAGGGACAGGCTGAACAAGGGTTCAGTGGGGTGCTGGCCCTCCATCACGTTCTGGGCTGCATGGCTAGATGGGGAGACATGTCTGCAGCCTCCACTGTGTACTTAGGCCCGCTGCCAGGGAAGCTTGCCCCGGGTTGCTGCTGTGTCCCTCAGAACTGTCACTATTTCTAGGCGGATGAGAAGGCAGGGCCTGGCCTCTTACCCATGTCGGCGGCCCAGCCCCAGTGTTTTGGCTGTGTGTGACTGATTCACCTTTGTATCCTGAGCGCCTAGCTCAGTGCCTGGAATGTCTGGGTTGTAAGTAAATATTTGTGAATGAGTAGGGAGTGGCTAGGGAAGGTGTCTGTCTAGATCCCCACTCCAGGAAGAGCCATGTCTGTTCAGAAGTGCCACTCTGTGGCAGGTGCAGACTGGCAGAGGTCAGTTTTCCTCTTCTTCTGTTGACCATCTTCTATATACCCCAACTTGGTGTGGCCCCCTGGGCCATATTGTCTCAGTTCTCTTGGCCATTGTCTGTTCTGTACTGTCACTTTCTTATGGACAGGATCCAGGTCCTTGAATTCTTCACCTTTATTGATATGTGGCAACAGGACTTTTGTGTCTGGGCCACCCTCAGTTCAAGTACAAGGGGAGGTCCCTGCCCGAGGCCCATTTTCACATTCTGGATGGCATGGCCTCCATCACTGGTTTGGGGAGAGTAGACCTTGCAGAGTTGCTTCTTCCCCTACGAGATCCCGATGATCTTGACGTCCTGGGAACCAACTCTCTGAATTGAATCCTCCTACATGCGGCTCTCGACACTATCCTGGCGTATGTATTAGAAAGTAAGACAGATAGACAGGCAGGAAGCCATGTGTACACACTTGTAATCTTAGCAATCGGAAGGCTGAGGCAGGAAGGTTGTGAGTTCTAGGCCATCTTGGTATCTATCCATAGTGAGACTTTATCTCTAAAAAGGAAAACAAAATAAAACAGAACCCAGGCAGGAGCCAGAATTGAGCACGTAAATCTGGTTCCATGTTGTGGCCCCTCCCCTGGGTGATCTTGAATGCCTTATTTAGTGACATATTTGAGGGTGTATATGTATATGCACAGCATGTATGGATGTGTCTTCTCACATAAATTGTCCCCACCCCAATACAGGGTCTTGCTGTGTAGCTCAGGTGGCCTTGAACTTTGTTCCTGCTAATCTAGTCTCTTGAGTGCTGAGTTTACAGGCATGTCCCACCCATGTCCAGCTGAAGGTGCTCTTTCCACGGTGTCCATCTGACGACTGTTCTGAATGCCTTGCAGATACTGCCCTTTCCGATCATGAAGCTCCAGGTATTGGTGTTGCTGATGTCCTGGTTTGGTGTCCTGAGCTGGGTGCAGGCAGAATTCTTCACCTCTATTGGTATGTGGCACCAGAACTCCGGTTCACCTAAGAGGCTCTCAGCTGAGTGCAAGGGGCTGTCACTGCCTGAGGCTCGTTCAGGGTTCAGTCACTGATTGTGGCCAGACCAGGGAAAGTGGAACTTAGGAAGGTTCTCCTCCCCCGGACCCCCACGGGATCCTGATGAACATAACGTATGTCTTGGGAGGCAGCTTTCTGAATTAGGCCCTCCTCTCTGAAAGTACAGACTGCAAGTACCTTTAAGGTCTTTTTTGGTCCCTTGCCAGAGGGTGGTCTAAGCTGCGGACATTCTCTGTTCCAAGGACCAGAGTCTCCCCCTCTCAACTGAAAGTTTAGAGCTGATTTCTGTTTGATGAACCCTTAGGATGTCTATTCCCCCTATGACAGGACATCCAGGTGACAGAACTTCTCCTTCTATAGTCCCTAGTGCCCTTTTCACTTTGCCCAGGCATCCTCTTGACACCTCAACATCTATCTTCCTGAGGTTGGGGTTCATGGCCATGCGAGTGACTAGGTACCTTTTACTACCAGTCCCCGTGATTCCTGGTTTACTGACATGCACTGCCTGGGGGTATTCACTTCTGGTATTTTGGGCAGGCCATTCCTCGCCCATCTCTCACTGGCCCTTGCTTCTCTCCTGTAGGGCACATGACTGACCTGATTTACGCAGAGAAGGACCTCGTGCAGTCTCTGAAGGAGTACATCCTTGTGGAGGAAGCCAAGCTCTCCAAGATTAAGAGGTGCACAGTGTCCTGAGACCCCACACTAAGTCATCCATCCCTACTGCTCCCCTTCCCAAGCCCATGCCTGTATCTGTAAGAAGAAGTCATTGAGAGGTGACCCAGGGGAGCTGACCTGCAGTTAACTTGTGCTAGTCCTCCAGAGTTGCTGAGTATATGGGTTAAGAAGCAACTGCCATTTTCCTTTCTACTTAACACGTTTTAATTTACATTGGAGCTCCCAGCTCTTGCCTAGATTAAGGGCTAGGGGTATCTAGGAAGTTACTATATTCATGTTTTATTATCTCTTGATGAAAGAGCTCTGGACCTCACCAGGGAAATTACCAGCCTGTGTGGGTGGGTGTGGCAGTCTTTTTTCCCCTTTGGTTCTACAGCTGGGCCAGCAAGATGGAAGCCCTGACCAGCAAGTCAGCTGCCGACCCTGAGGGCTACCTGGCTCATCCTGTGAATGCCTATAAGCTGGTGAAGCGGTTGAACACAGACTGGCCTGCACTGGGGGACCTGGTCCTGCAGGACTCGGCTGCCGGTGAGGGGCAGTGAACGGGGATCAGCTGTGTCTGTGTGCCTGTCTGCTTCTGCCTGGTGCTGTCCTTGTTGGTTGGTTTTAAAAATGTTGTAACGATCACTTCCTGTTCTTTTGTAATGTTTCCTGGTAATGACATTTTCTAATTATGCTTCATTTTCTAAATATACTTTTGATAACACACTTCAGGAACACAAACTCTATCACATAGAAATCACGATGCTTAATCCAATTGCTCCATGATAAGCACCATTACGATTGTAATCTTGGGGGATGGAGAGGTCACACAGGGGTTAAGAGCACTGGCTGCTCTTGCAGAAGAAGCAGGTTTGGTCCCCAGCATCTGTATGATGGTTCACAACCATCTGTATTTACTGTCCCAGAGAGTCTGACACCCTCTTCTGACCTCTGCAGGTGCCAGGCACTCCTGACACACAGATATACATACAGGCAAAATACTCATTTATACACATAAAATAAGCTTGAAAGAATATTTAAGAAACCCTATAATCTTGGGCTGGTGAGATGGCTCAGTGGGGAAAGCCCTCACCATGCCGGTGTGAGGACTGAAGTTTGGATCCCCAGAAGCCGTGGAAAGCCAGGCAAGTGCATGGCAGAGATTTCCCCTGGGCAAGCTGGCTAGCCAGACTAGTTCATCAGTGAGCTCTGGGGTCAGTTGGAGACCTGCCAGGGTGATTGAAGAAGGCACAGGACTTCAAATTCGAGCCTCCATACACATCCAGCGCATATGTGTGCACCCTCCTGCATGAGATCATGCATACGCATACATTTACAAATACCACACATGCATACATACACCAGAAAGAATTAACCTGCTTATGTGTGAGTCAGGTGGGCTGAGTGTCGGGGCTGAGGCCAGCTGGGGAAGTAGAGGCTTCGTCTGAATTCTTTCCTATGTATGTCTTTTACAACATGTGTGGGTTCAACATAAACATGTGTCCAGTCCTGGGTGTCCCAGCTTCTGCAGATGCCATTAAGCATGGCTGTGCCATGATCGTAATGGCTGGATAGTCATCTGTCACAGCGATACTGTCCAAGCCTGGTCAACTCACTGCACCTGGGTTGTTTCCAAATTTTCAGCGTTTTTTACATATGCATTATGGTGTCTGCCTCCGATTATTTTTCTAAGTTAAATTCCTAGAAATGTTATTTGCAGGGCAGATCACAGGTTTGCTAAGGGCTCTTTCTGGAGTAGGTGCTTTCTGTGTGTGAACATGTTCCTGTTATCCAGAGGAGAGGATCTTGGTAATGGAAGGGTGGGCTGGAGGTGGGCCACGGGATTCCCAGCCTCAAGCTGGGCCTCCTCACTGAGCCGGGAGTGCAGATTAGCTTCAGACTAGCCCTCTCTCTGGCTGAGACTGGTTACAGCCACGTGACCCACTGGGGTTGGGCTTGGCTGGGGGCTGGGTAGTCTCCCGGGAGGGTTTGGTGAGCTCAGCCCTGCTGGAGCTGTGCCTGTCAGCTCGCAGCCTCCAGAAGCCACTGCCTTTCCCAGACTCTCTCCCCCCCCCCCCCCCCCCCCCGCCCCTCCTTTCCTGGGCTGGGCCTGCTGCTCAGAACAGCTCAGAACAGGCTGTTCCTCCTGCTTGCTGGAGAGGTAGGCGAGGAGGCCTGTCCTGATGCACATGATTTGCTGTCTGATCTTGTCGTCCCCGAACAACTGCCCGTTAATATCTGGAAGCTATGATTACCTGGAAGGTGATGGGACAGGCCCAGAGAGCAATCATTTCTGTTTGTCTCTAATGTTGGTTGCTTGCCCCTTCTGAAGGGCTTGCCTTCTTTTTCATGGATGCTAACATCCTCAGAGTTCCTGACCATAGAGCTGTGGAGAAGATAATGCAGCAGCTTGTTGATCCCTGGACCCCAGCTTGCCGAGATGAGAAGAGGTGGCAGCGGGTGTAACACTCTTGGAAAGGGGCCAGGGACAGGCCAGGGATGGGCCAGGGACGGGCCAGGGACGGAATGCGTTGGAGTTCCTCTCCCAGTCCTCAGTTCTTAGCAGCTACAAAGGCCTGAATCATTAGCATGGCAAGGCCCGGAGTCCTGGAATATCGGGAGTTGTGTCTCTGGCTTGTGGCTCTGGCAAAGCCACCTGGGGCCACTTCAGTGGTCAAATCTGTCTAGGCTCTGGGCTGTGGTCTTGGTGCCACAAGCGCATACCCTGACTCTAGACTCTTAAGTGCTAAGCTGTGTGCAGAGCCTTTGGTTCCAAATGAACAGTACAGGGAAGGCTAAGAAAGAAGTTCTGTCGAGGAGCCCCCAGGAGGGCCTCCTGAAGGAGGCGGCTGCTTTGTTGTTCCTGCTATTATTTTGGTGCGGGCTCCCCAGTACATGCCAGGCAGGTGTTCCATCGCTGAGCCTACAGCCCGCCAACAGCCTTTGAGGGAAGGGACAGGGAAATCCCGTTAGCCAAGAGACCTTCTAGTGACTGCCTCTGGTCCCCGGTAGAATTCTGTCCCCTGGATTAAGAGTGACCTCTCTCCTCACTGTCACTTGGAAGGTTTCGTTGCCAATCTCTCAGTCCAGCGGCAGTTCTTCCCCACTGATGAGGATGAGTGTGGAGCTGCCAGAGCGCTGATGAGACTTCAGGACACCTACAAACTGGACCCAGACACGATTTCTAGAGGGGAACTTCCAGGTGATGCACCTTCGTTTACTTACGTCTCTCCAGTGTCTGGACAGGTCAGACTGACTTAGGCACTGTTGGTGTTGGTGTCGGTTTTGGGGTTCCCATTGGATGCCAGTCTCCCATGCGTCAACCCCTACCTCAATGTCTTGATTCAGATATTAGCCAAGACTTCTCCTCTGGTGTTAGAGAATGGAGACTGTTGATCGGGAGTCTCCCTCAGCATCCACGCCCAGAAAATCGCCCGTCTGCTGGCAGACCTGCTTCCATGCCCAGCCTCTTGTTGCTTTCTGTCCAAGGCTGGTCTGTGGACTCGCTGCTTCTATCCTACGTCCCCTAGTTAGTCCCTTCTCTTTTCATTCTGTCCTTACCTCTCTGTGCTCTCTCTCTGAGTTCATGTATAGCCCCACCTGTTTCCCCATTTCTTGTTTTTGTCCCTCTTTCCCTGCATGATCTGTCTGTCTGTCTGTCTGTCTGTCTGTCTCTCTCCTGATCTGAAGTCTCTGTAGCCTATCTCTCATACTTCTCCTTTAGATCCAATGCTCTTTTGAGTCCATTTCTTCGTTCCTTCTGAGGCTGCTGGGTAGTGATTTATTTTCTCTGCCTCCCTCCCATTCTCACGTACTCCTGAACCCAAGGTACCTTTGTGTCTCTCCTCTGTTGTCCTGTTGTTCAAAGTCACCAAGAGCACAGGGTGAGTGAAGCCAGCAGGCAGGTTACCGGCATAACACCCTTTAACTTCGGAGTAGCGTCTGGTTCAGATCGTTTCTTTCTGTCTGATGTCTGGATTCTGGTGCCGATCTCTGCTTTTTTTCTTTTCACATGTCTGGCCATTCATTCATTCATTCTTCTTCTTTTTTTTAATTGTCCTTTTCCCTGCTTGCTGCCTAGTGCTAGTGACTATAAACTTACAGCGTTTAGGGGGTTATTTGAGACCAATAAATCCAAGGATTCAGTTGGACCTCATTATAATTTAAATACCTCCTCCCTTCTTTGGAGCCTAGGGAAGATGCAGCAGAGAGAGACCCGAGTGATGTAGGAGCTGTCTTCCTCCTTAGATGTCCTGTGACTGACTACTCAAGGCCAGGGTCTTGGTGTGCAGGACTGTGCTGAGCTGACGGGGGAGGAGGGTTCTCTCTATTCCTGCTTCAGTCAGGTGTTGGGCCAAACCCAACCATGAGGCAGAGTGAGAAGGTAATTCTGGGAAGCTTTTGACCTTGTAGCTGAGAGGCGTGCCTGGTGGGAGAAGGGAGCTGTCTACTGACAGCCTCCTTCCACAGTTAACAGGCCCCTGAGTGTCCTGAGTGGGGGCAGAGGGCAAAGGGAGTTACTCTCCAGAACTCCACTCACTGTTGGCTCTGAGCCCCTCTCCAGGTGAGCCCCTCCTCCAGGTGAGCCCCTCCCCCAGGTGAGCCCCTCCCCCAGGTGAGCCCCTCCCCAGGTGAGCCCCTCCCCAGGTGAGCCCCTCCCCAGGTGAGCCCCTCCCCCAGGTGAGCCCCTCCCCAGGTGAGCCCCTCCCCCAGGTGAGCCCTTCCCTAGGTGAGCCCCTCCCCCAGGTGAGCCCCTCCTCCAGGTGAGCCCTCCCCCAGGTGAGTCCTCCCCCAGGTGAGCCCTCCTCCAGGTGAGCCCTCCCCAGGTGAGCCCCTCCCCAGGTGAGCCCCTCCCCCAGGTGAGTCCTCCCCCAGGTGAGTCCTCCCCCAGGTGAGCCCTTCCCCAGGTGAGCCCTTCCCCAGGTGAGCCCTCCCCCAGGTGAGCCCTCCCCCAGGTGAACCCTCCTCCAGGTGAGCCCCTCCCCAGGTGAGCCATTCCCCAGGTGAGCCCTCCCCCAGGTGAGCCCCTCCCCCAGGTGAGCCCTCCCCCAGGTGAGCCCCTCCCCAGGTGAGCCCTCCCCCAGGTGAGCCCTCCCCCAGGTGAGCCCTCCCCCAGGTGAGCTCAGCTGTTTTCATCACTTGGTGTGTTGCCCTACGGGGATGACATGCAGACCTGTGTTCCTTGTCAAGGCATGTCTCTGGGCTTCCAACCAGGGTAGGACAGTGCCTGGAGACACCTTTACTTGGACATTCCATGGATTGCACAAACTTCATTCAGTTTGTGCCAAATTGAAATTCCCATCTGGTTTTGAACTGTTTGCCCTCTGTCTTCGCCTGTTATCTTAGCAAAAAGCACTTCTGCCTGTTGGCAGCCTAAGCCATAACCTTAAAGTCTGTGGATTCTGTCTCTCTAATGCCCTCTGACCTTTTCTCATATCTCCAACAAACTTAGGATAATTTTCTGTGTGCTCCTAAGCACACACGTATCCATTTGAGTTCAATGCTTAGCTTTCAGAAGTGACCCCGAAGTCTGCCTATAAGTGATGGTCTTTGAGCCCCCACTGCCTCCGTGGGACATTGTTCCCAGCGTCTCTCAGCTCTATTACCCTTACCCGTGTGGGCTCCTCCCCATCTGATAGTCCTTGAGCACTCAACCTAGCTGTCACTGTTCATGAAACAGGCACTTGAGTTTCCTTCTGAGGAGGGTGCCGAGTTCTGGAAGTCATTCTTCACATTCTTGGCATTCACAGGACATGTTGATAGTAGCTGCTGGTCTTTCGCATCCCGAGGCAGCATCTTCATATGTCATCTCGTTGAGTTTTTGGTACCAGTCCTTTAAAACTGATGCTGGTGTCTCTGTTTAGATAGATTTGGGTAGATATTATACTTATTTAGGTAGGGGATTGAATCTGAGGTTGGGTAACTTGTCCAGATTCACACAATGGGTAAGAATGCAGCAAAGTCCACATAGACCTGGCTTGGTCCAGGTCCAGAGCACAGTTTGCTTATCTTTGTTACATGGCCTGTTGTGATAGGCTCCTGAGTCCGCAGAGTCAGTGGAGACCCTTGGAGACTTGTGGAGAAAGGAAAGTTCCCATAAGCCCACTAATGCTTGACCTGCCTATGACTCCTTCTTGTGTTTACTTTCCTGACATTCTATCCCATGTTGTCAGATTCTGGGTCACCAGGATGAACAGACTGTGGTCTGTGCAGCAACTGTCGTCCTGTGGCGGGGTTTCCTCCTGGGAAGAGGCCCATGGTGGCCCTCAGGCCAAGAGAGGGATGCATGAGTAGTTCTAGCATGCCATCCATGCCGGATAGCTGTTAATAGGGAGATGCGTGTGGCTGCAGGCAGGTCCTAGCCCTCCTCGTTCTGTGGGATCTGCTTTCTCATTATTCGAGGAGAAACACATCGTCTTTGCCATCCCAAGCCTGTCTGAAGCTCTGCATCTCCCTAAAGCTGCTGCTGTTCCTCAGGTTGAAATCATCTTCGTGATCACTTTCCATTAGACATGAGGTCTGCTGAACTGATGCTCGAATGTCCTTGCTGGATTGCAACCTTGGTTCTTTGTCGCCATTGGTATCCGTCACCTGTTCCATTACCTGTATCCTCTTAGTACCTTTTCATGTTACTGCACGTATGTTCCCTTGAGGTCTAACCTCGGACCTTCTCTGTCCTTTCCTTTTTCAGACTCTTCTACATGTGACTGCCCTTGTCCATGGCTTTCATGTCACCTGAATTCCATTCTTAAATTCATCTACGTTTTCTGCTCTTCAGAATTCCATGGCCAGCTGCCTTCCACGCATTTTCTCTTGTTTTGACCCACAGGACCTATACCCACTGACCTCAGGGCCATGTCTTGGTGGGATTCCTGAACTGCCTGTCACAAAGCCCCTTCCCGCTTGAGAGAAGGAGTCTGAGGCTTAGAGATTGACTCTGAACTATAACCTCAGCTAAACCAACCTCTTTATGCTCACTGCATTGATGGTATTTCATGGTGTGTGGCATGAAGTCTGGGTGGGATTTTGCTTGGGTAGTGGCCCAGCATTTCTCCCAAGTGAGCGACTTCCTTCTTAACCCAGAGGCATTTCAGGGCCCGACGGTTGCTTTTCCTGCTGCAGGAACCAAGTACCAGGCCACGCTGAGTGTGGATGACTGCTTTGGAATGGGCCGCTCAGCCTACAATGACGGAGACTATTATCACACGGTGCTGTGGATGGAGCAGGTGCTGAAGCAGCTAGACGCTGGGGAGGAGGCTACCGTAACAAAATCCCTGGTGCTGGACTACCTGAGCTATGCTGTCTTCCAGCTGGGTGACCTGCACCGTGCCGTGGAGCTCACCCGCCGCCTGCTGTCCCTTGGTAAGGAGGTTAGGGACTGGACCTAGCGAGGGAACTTGACCCTTCTGGCCACATTGCTCGATCATCTCTTGGAACTAAATCAGTTTGATTGTCACCTGGCCAGTGATGAGCGTCTCAGTGATTTCAACCGCCTTTCCAGCTGCTGACTAGCTCCTCACCACAGTCTTGATGTTAGGCCATGCCCAGCTGGTGATGGCTATTCAAAGGCCTGTGACATCCTTGTGTGTATACGTGTGTTGCTCATGCATGCACACGGTGGCACTTTTAAAAATAAGGACCTAGTATTGTGGTGCTTGTACCATTATGCAGGGTAGACCCTTCGCTGTAAAAATACAGATGGAGAAGCACGCCATACTTCTGGATTGCTGTAGTGACAGTAATCTAGCTATTAGTGGCCTGAGGTCTAAAGTCGGACTTAGCATGCCATTTGTACTCTGTATGTCTTGTGATGTGGGACAGAACAAGGCTCAACGCACTCGTTAAAGCCTGTTAATTGCACCTTTTCCTAATATCTAGGAATGTTGTCTGGAGTTTCACAGGGCAGCGAAGACTTGACTTTGCCAATGCTTTCCAGGGGGCCTGCATGTGAGGTCAGCTAGCATTTGAGTGTCCTACAAGGCCAACGTGGGTAGAGAGTCTTGTAGAATCTGTCACGAGAGTTAATAAGAGCCCTGGACAGGGAGTCAGGGCCCCCCGACTCTTCTGTGTGGCTTCATCTTAAGTCACTGAACATCTTTGAGACAGTTTCGTTATCTGGGGAGTGATGTAGAAATCCTGCCGTGGCTGTGGCTTCAGATACTGTGTTGTCCGACAGAGATGTGACTCTTCTATTTTTAAATAAAACTTTATTACATTTATTATTCATTCATTCATTCATTCATTCATTCATTCATTTATTGTGTATGTGGGTGAATGTAAAGTGCCACAGTGTACATATGGTCAGGGGCCAACTCTAGGGAGTCAGTTCTCTCCTTTTACACCATGTGGATCCTGGGTATTGAACTCAGGTTGCCAGGCTTGGTAGTAAGCACCTTTCCCTGCTGAGCCATCTGGCCTGCCTTGTGGCCCTTCTTTTTTTTTTTTTTAAACCAGTATCTCAGCTTGCCTCCTGTTTGTAGCCAGTGTGTGATGTGATCCCTAGACCTGACTGCACTCTGGGGAATGGCTTCATGTAGCTACAGCCAGTCACAAGGAGGAGGCAGAACTCCAGGAGATCTCCTGGAGGTCCCCGCAAGTTCTGAGTTCTGTCTAACCCCCTAGTTACTAGCTAAACGTGCTCCGCTTTAATGACACGTCTCCCTCATCCCTGGACAAGATGAAAGGGCCTCTGTTGGCTTTTCAGCTCTGGCTGGCACACCCTGGCGAGGTGCGGCAGCCAGCAGAGCGGAGCGTACCAGTGGGCTGCTGGGCGAGGAACGGCTCACAGAGCAGTTTCTGTAAATGACCTAACAGATGTTTGTGGTTTCCTTGTCCCCTCACGTTTCGCTTTTTCTAGACCCAAGCCATGAACGAGCTGGGGGGAATCTGCGGTACTTTGAGCGGCTGTTGGAGGAAGAAAGAGAAAAAGCGTTGTTCAATCAGACAGAAGCTGGACTAGCGACCCAGGAAAACTTGTACGAGAGGCCTGTGGACTACCTCCCCGAGAGGGACGTGTATGAGAGCCTGTGTCGTGGGGAGGGCATCAAACTGGTGAGACCTGGGAAGGGGCCGGTGGCCTGGCTGGGAACCTGAGTGCTGGCTCTGGGGAGGCAGCATGGGACGTTCCACAGCCTATTTGCACTTTTCTCAGCATCTGCTGAGGCTGATAGGTGGGTGTTCTCTGATGCATAGGACAGAAGATTGTTTCCATGGATGCTCCAGGGAGAATTCCTGTCCTCCAGGGCATTCCTGTACTCCCCACCCAGTGTGCTTACCTATCATTTGACTGATTGGTTTGAGGAAAATGGTGGGTGTAGCTATGCCTCAGGTCTCCAGGGAAGTCATGGTGTAAATGACAAGGGAGACTCATGGTAAAAAAGGCAACACTTGCTGAGGCTTTTGAGAGCCCTAGGGTTCCGCTGATCCTCACAGCTCAGTATGGGGGAGGTGCTCACCTTTCCTGTGTCCCTGATTGGCTTCCAATTGTTTTCTGTCTGGAAAGGCTTCTCCCCATCCACAGTGCTTCAGAGTTAATCAAAACTCCATGAAAAGGGTCAGGAAGTGCCCTCCGCCACAGGAATTGTGGAAATGAGGTGCTCTTTGGAGAGAAGGGGAGCTGCATGGTTTGTGTGAGGTCACTTCCTACTCTGGTTTTCTTCTGTGGTGAGGCTGAGGACAGCCTTGGCCATGGAGGGTGAAACCAGTGTGTGCAGACAGCTGGGCTGGAACTGAGGGTAAGGTCACTGTGCTCAGGCCTATGCTCTCTGCTCCCTAGACGCCCCAGAGGCAGAAGAAACTCTTCTGTAGGTACCATCATGGTAACGGGGTGCCACAGCTCCTCATCGCCCCCTTCAAAGAGGAAGATGAGTGGGATAGTCCGCACATCGTCAGATACTATGATGTGATGTCGGAGGAAGAAATCGAGAGGATCAAGGAAATCGCGAAGCCCAAAGTAGGTGTCTCTGTGGGTCCTGCTGGGGCACTGTGCGAGGTGGGGTGCAGTCCCTCCTTCTGCCTCTGTGGGGCAGCTTGTCTGTGTACTAATTCAGTCTCACCAATAGTTAGTGTGAGTACATTGATGCGCTGTGGACTTAGGCTGACATTGTAGGTTTATGACCTAGGAGAGAAGAAAAAGTAGGTAGGGACCCAGGATGGATAGACAAGAACATGAATAATAGCAGGTCATGTTGGGAGCAGGGCAGCTCAGTGACAAATGCCATTTCACCTGGTTGAAGGGCTAGTGTATGGATTGTTTTTAAGGAAATGAATGGTCTCAAAAAAGTGGAATCTGTGGAGCTCCTGATCAGGACTGCAGTGAGGGGTGAGGGCTGCAGTGAGGGGTGAGGGCTGCAGTGAGGGATGAGGGCTGCAGTGAGGGGTGAGGGCTGCAGTGAGGGTGAGGGCTGCAGTGAGGGAGGAGGACTGCAGTGAGGGAGGAGGACTGCAGTGAGGGAGGAGGACTGCAGTGAGGGAGGAGGACTGCAGTGAGGGGTGAGGACTGCAGTGAGGGAGGAAGACTGCAGTGAGGGGTGAGGGCTGCAGTGAGGGGTGAGGACTGCAGTGAGGGAGGAGGACTGCAGTGAGGGGTGAGGGCTGCAGTGAGGGTGAGGGCTGCAGTGAGGGAGGAGGACTGCAGTGAGGGAGGAGGACTGCAGTGAGGGGTGAGGACTGCAGTGAGGGAGGAGGACTGCAGTGAGGGAGGAGGACTGCAGTGAGGGAGGAGGACTGCAGTGAGGGGTGAGGGCTGCAGTGAGGGGTGAGGACTGCAGTGAGGGAGGAAGACTGCAGTGAGGGGTGAGGGCTGCAGTGAGGGGTGAGGACTGCAGTGAGGGAGGAGGACTGCAGTGAGGGGTGAGGGCTGCAGTGAGGGGTGAGGACTGCAGTGAGGGAGGAGGACTGCAGTGAGGGGTGAGGGCTGCAGTGAGGGTGAGGGCTGCAGTGAGGGAGGAGGACTACAGTGAGGGAGGAGGACTGCAGTGAGGGTGAGGGCTGCAGTGAGGGAGGAGGACTGCAGTGAGGGAGGAGGACTGCAGTGAGGGAGGAGGACTGCAGTGAGGGGTGAGGGCTGCAGTGAGGGAGGAGGACTGCAGTGAGGGTGAGGACTACAGTGAGGGAGGAGGACTGCAGTGAGGGAGGAGGACTGCTGTGAGGGAGGAAGGCTGCAGTGAGGGTGAGGGCTGCAGTGAGAGTGAGGACTGCAGTGAGGGGTGAGGGCTACAGTGAGGGAGGAGGACTGCAGTGAGGGAGGAGGACTGCTGTGAGGGAGGAGGACTGCAGTGAGGGGTGAGGGCTACAGTGAGGGAGGAGGACTGCAGTGAGGGAGGAGGACTTCTGTGAGGGAGGACTGCAGTGAGGGAGGAGGACTGCAGTGAGGGGTGAGGGCTACAGTGAGGGAGGAGGACTGCTGTGAAGGAGGAAGGCTGCAGTGAGGAGGTCTGCAGTGAGGAGGGCTGCAGTGAGATAATAAAAACCAGAGTGAACTGTTGACTTGGAGAAGGGTGTACATCAGTACAATCTAGATATTCTTCATCTTTACTTATTCATGTTTAAATTTTCAGTTCAAATACATTTTTTACTGAGCTTATTCCTCGTTGGTTGCTTTCTTTTTTTGTAAATTTTCTTCTTGGGAGTATTTAACTTATTACATTATTACATTAATTCACTATTATATACTAAATTATTGGATGGCTTTTTTTTTTTTTTAAATGTAGGGTCTTATGTAGTTCAGACTGGCTTCAAACTTGTTTTATATATGTCTAAGGATAACCTTGAACTTCTGATCCTTCTGCCTCCACCTCCTGAGGGCTAGAATTACAGATGTATAATATCACACCTGGTTTATACAGTGCAGGCAATCAAACCCAGGGCCTCATATGTGCCAGGCCAGCACTCTTTTAGCTGAGCCACGTTTCTAGCCAAATATGCCAAACTATTGGTTTTTTAAATCTATCCCCCCAGGGTAACTAGTATTTATTGGTGTGGCAGGACCTGTCTCCAGTGTTTCATGTGTGTGAACTGTTGTCTGTTGCAGATTCCAGGTCTGCTTTCATTTTCCCTTGAACTTGAGGAAGCTGATCTGTGTAGGTCAGAGGTGGTGGTAGAAGTTACTCCTTCTTGGGTTATCTTGACCAAATTGTCATCTGCAAGCGAGGAAAATATTTTATCCTCCCTAATAGTTAGAGCTCCTTTGCCTTGACCATCTTATTGGTATGCCTGGAACTTCTAGAACATTTTTGCTATGGACCTCCTTGTCTTGTTTCTGAGTATTGTAGAAATCCAACTGGTATTTGCTGCTACATATGCCATCGACTGTTGGTTCTTGTATACATGTCATGTTGGTACAATTATTCTTTGGTTTCTAGCTCATAGATGATTTGGTCCCATTTAAGGACTGTGGGCTGCTGTTGCCCCAGCTTTCTCCTGTCACAGGTGACCAGGAGGGAGGAATTAGCTGGCTTTCTATTGTTTTATTTGTAGCAGAATTGAAGTGGCTGAGGTGGCCAGAGCTTCCGCTCACGGACAGACCTAAGATGGGTTCCTGTAGTGGCCCTGGAGCTCTCCTTTGGAACAGCTTGGTTTGAAGACCTAGCACAGTCAGGAGACAGGATCTGTTGCTGGTATCATGGATGCGACTGAGGGTCAGTCTAGTCGATGTGTATGGAGCACTGTAACCAGGACCTGTCATGTCACTTTCATGGCCAGTTCCAAAGTCCTCCAGAGAAGAAAACTTAGTCGCCTGATTTCTAGCCAAGAGAGGTACTGGCAAGCCAAAATCTCCTGAGAGATTCCTTACCTGCCTTAGTCTGGGACATTGGACGTTTTTCTCTATGCACATGTATACATGAGCAGCAGGGATGGGGAAGGTGACTGGTGTTGGGATAACTGGTCTTTGAACAGGAGCCATGTGACAAGCCATACACATTGGCCATCATGAGCTGACCTCTCCTTTCCGGAGGCCAGGACAGACAGATGCTATTCTGGCTTTGAAGTGGGGCCAGTGAGCTTAGCTTGGCTTGTGGGGAATGCCTGGCAGCTGTCTGTGAGTCCCCAGTCTGCTTTCAAAATAGCCCCGTCTGTCCCTAGGGCAGAGCACAGCTGCCTAAAGTCTTTTTTGGGCACCAGGCCAATGCTGAGGCTCAGATGTTTTCACAGTCTAGTGGCAGTGTCTTATCAGGCAGGGATGGCCATCCACTAGGCTGATAAAAGGACCATAGATAGGAACCTGGGAAACCATCTTTCCTGGGTATGCTGGCTGCCATAGTCATATGAGAGTGTTAGGAGGCAAAGTGATCAGATGGGTCGATTTACTTCCGGACCAGACATGTGGTGTGGCTCCTCTTCTCCATCCCTCTGCCATCTCTTGTACCAGGCCACTGTCATCCCTTGCCCTGATTCTTGCTCCAACTTTGTTAGTCTTCTCCCCATTCTGCTCTCTCCGTAAGGTGGCCTGATAGTCCTTACATTCCATTGTGAATGCCCCTCCCTTGCATAAGACGGTCCCCATTTCAGCTTGTCCATAAGATGGCAGCAGACCCTGGTCTCTGTGCCTTTGGCCTCTTCCCATCTCACTACATCATGTCGCCTCGACCTATAGCCAGTGCCCTTTGCACCAGTGTCCTTGCCTGATGCTGTAATGTACATAGTACCCTAACCTGGACCAGCAGGTTCTTCTTCAGTGACAGGGTCCTGAGGGGGAAGGATCAGAGGTAAAGAAGATCAAACAGGTAGGCTCCGGAGGTCTCTAAGCTCTGTCTCGTGTCGGACAAGCTTATTAAGAAGTCCAGCATCTCATATACTGTTTCCAGGGGAGAAATGAGACAGTACCACTGCAAAGCTCTCATACAGTGGGACGAAGTCAGCAAGAAGCTAATCAAGCAGTGATGCACACGGGGACACAGGCTTCTCACAAGGGGACACAGGCTTTCTCACAAGGGGACACAGGCTTTCTCAAGGGCTAGGGCATTAGAGAGGAGCACACAGCCTTGGGACCAATAACCACAGAGTTTGGTTCTGAGGTCCCAAAGCTGCAGTTCCCCAAGACCTTTGCCCCAGGCCATTACTGTATCTGTTAAGGATCAGACAAGGAAGTCCATTCCTTCTCTATACACGAAGGTCTCAGAGAAAGCCTTGAATCGGCCCGGCTCTCAACAGTACCCAAGCTGCTGTAACCTTTTGGCTGTGCTTCCACAAGACATTAAGCTCACCCATCTTAATTACTTGGCTGGTTTTCTACTGTCTCCACTTGACCAAGTTATATGAAGGCAGGGGTCGTGTCTCGGTCACCACCTCGCACACAGTAGGCACCAGTCAGATAGTTACTGGAAGTAAGAGTCGGCACTATTCTGTTTGGTCCATATATACTTCTGCATGAACATGTCGGTCCATACCAGGACCGCATTGTGTGAGCCCATTAGGACAGTCCACACTACAAGGAAGGCACCTGTACTCTTGCTGTGGACAAGTATATCCCTCCTGGCAGTACCATTAAGCCTTTATATGGAGACTAGGGAGATGAGGTAGGGGAAAGGCGTGTGTGTGTGTGTGTGTGTGTGTGTGTGTGTGTGTGTGTGTGTGTGTAGTTGCCCATGAAAGGTGGCTTCTGCATAGCAGTTCATGTGCATCAGATTCCTGTTCTTTTCTCTGTTGACTCTGGGAGGGCCAGAAAGGGACTGAAAACTGTCTTACTTACTGAGCAGTGGGAGCCCAGCATGGCAGGAGGTACAGCAGACTGTGTTTGGATAGAAGGAAAACATGGGCAAACTTGACCATGTCAGGAGAATCCTCAGGTTGAAGCTCAGAGATGGCCCAGTCTGCGTGTGGTGGAATCAAAGCTGTGCTCAGGCAGTGTGGTGTGGGCCTGTCAAGAAAGGCCAAGTTTGAGGGATACATGTACAGACCAAGCAGAATTCATAGGCATAACGGTGCTGGCAGCATAGCCCCAAGTAGCAGAATGGGCAGGTAATGAGCAAGGAGGGTGCGGCCAGGCCTCATAGTATAGAGGAAAGTGTAGAGTAGACTGCAGTGTTGTGGGACCTTGGCTAGAACCACTTTCTACAGATATTTCCCACTGATGGGGCTGGTCCCCCTGGGATCAGTGTTCTCTGGATAAACACCCAAAACCAAAAAGGTAACTCTGTCCTGTCTTTTAGCTCGCACGAGCCACTGTTCGTGATCCCAAGACAGGCGTCCTCACTGTTGCCAGCTACAGAGTTTCCAAAAGGTGAGCAGACGTAGCAGTGGGGTGGGATGGAGCTTCCCAGCAAGGTTGCAAAAGAGTGCTGATGCCCACTTCTCCTGCCTGCTGCACCTTCTCTCCCTGTGGCATTTACCCTGTGTTGCCCATTAGTCCTGGCCTTGACTAGGAAGGAATCATCGGACTTCATCTAAGCCTGCCCATGCCTTTCTTCTTTGCTCAGCTCCTGGCTAGAGGAGGATGATGACCCTGTTGTGGCCCGAGTCAACCGCCGGATGCAGCATATCACAGGGTTGACAGTGAAGACCGCAGAACTATTGCAGGTAGGCTGGCCCTTGGGGCCGGAGGAGTTGGGAGGAGTTCTGTTGGTCTGTATGGTCTCCCAAGGTTCCCAGGCTGTCTGAGAAGGCTCACCTACTCCATTACTCACTCTTCTAATCAAAGGACCCGGCAGAAGCAAATTGATGGAGGAGAGGTCTGCTTTGGCTCACAGTTTGACTCCATCATGGTGGGGAGGCTTGGTAGAAGGAGCTTGCAGCACAGCTTGTTCACGTCTTGCTGGACCAGAAACCAGAGCGCTTGGGCTGGCCAGAACCAACAGCAGAGAAAACCTTCACGGTGCACATCCAGTGGTCTGATTATCCCAGCTAGGCCCCAAGATTCCACCCTCCAGAAACAGTACCACCAACAGGAGAGCGAATATGTACTCACATGAGCCTTGAGTTCACATCCCCAGCATCCACACAGAAAGCTGAGTGTGGCTAAGCATTTTTCTGCCACCCCAGCGCTGGGGAGAGTGCCCACAGGCTTGCTGGGTGACGGCTTAGCTCCAGGTTCATTGTCTCAAGGGAGTAAGGTAGAGCGTGATGGAGCAGGACACACAACATCCTTCTCTGGCCTCTGCATGCACACAGACATGTGTACACCCCACCATATACGTACACCACATACATAGACTACACACACACACACACACACACACACACACACACACACACACACACGGCTGGGGGTTGCTTTCAGGCCTAGGGAGATGGTATTCATGGAGAAGTTGGGCTGCTCTGGAGCTAGCTGTTCATACTGCTGGCAAATTCAGTGCTGTAATCTCTCACCAGGTCGCGAACTATGGAATGGGAGGACAGTACGAACCCCACTTCGACTTCTCTAGGGTAAGGCCCCAATCACAGATATTTCTGGAGGGCTCTGCCCTGGCTGGTTTGAGAAGGTTGGAGCTTCTAGAAGCATCTCAGCTTCCACATTATCCCTCCTCCACCTACCACCTCGCCAGGGAAAAACTACGTTGTTGGTGAAGCACCTGTGGAGCCCAGTGGGGCCTGGTTGTTTCCTGTCCATGTGGGGAGTGTTTGGCCCAATAATAAAGCAGAAGATCTCTCTAGGTCCCTGTGAAATCTTTTCTGACCTCCCTACCCTTCCCTGTGTTCTTTCTGGGGTTCCCTTTGCAGCCCTGTCCCGTATCCCTGCTGTGCTGTGGGAGGAAGGCACGCTTACCATCCCCCGACCCTTTTGGTCCCCGTCCTTTGGGTGGCGGGTAACTTAGTTGCAAACTTAGATGAAAGTTGTTGTCTGTTGCAGCGACCCTTTGACAGCGGCCTCAAAACGGAGGGAAATAGGTTAGCGACGTTTCTTAACTATGTAAGTACCGGGCCGGGCCCATTTGTTCCCTCTCCCTTAATTTTATAGAGCGATGAGCAAGATGCTTTCAAGCGTTTAGGGACTGGGAATCGTGTGGCCACGTTTCTAAACTACGTGAGTATGATGCGTGCGCCCGAGGGGGCCCTGTGGAGACCCTGGGGCCAGAGGGCTCCTGTACATCCCACCCCCATCGGGGCTCACAGCATCAGCTGCTGCAGAGCGGTCCGTCAGTGCCCTTCCTGGCTAGAGAATAAAGAGCTGGCTTTTGTTCCCATCTGTGTGCTTAGCCTTCTCCTACCCCCTGGCTCTTTCCTACCACCTCCCACAACATTTTTTTTAAGCTGTGGTAAAATATACATAATATAAAAATTGCCATCATAACAGTCTTCCGTGGGCTTCGGTGATTATTTATTAAATCCATCCCTAATGTGAACCATTTACCATCTGTTACCATAGCTCTTCTCACCTCATAAAATGGAAACTCTACTTCTATTCAGCAGTAATTCCAGCGTCCCTTCCCACCACCACCCTGCTTTCGGAGACCACAGAACCTCATCAGAGTGGAGTCCTGGAGTGTCTGTCCTTCTTGCTGGCTGATTCCCTCAGCTCGTATCTTTAACATGTGTCTGTGTGGCATGCTCTGCGTCCTTTCTGATGGATGCAGTGCTACTCTGAGCTTTGGGAATGAGAGCCATGGTGGGCTCTGTCCTAGTGGGAGAGTGCAGAGGTGGCCAGGAGGTGCCTTTACATGGAAACTGCCTCTGTTTCCTCGGAGGCTGGGTAGCCAGCTTCCCTCCTGCTGCCCCCTGCCCCTCATCCATAGGCTGTCAGTTTACCTCTCCCCACTATGATAGCCCATTCTAAGGATGCGGAGTCAGGGAACTTAGAAACAAAGTTTATTTTTTCCCTCTAAGTTTTAATTATCCTGGAGACTGCTATGCACATACACTGCTGAGCTGGTCCTATGTGGTCTCCGTTGTGACATCTGAGGTCTGACTTGGGAGACTCACTTGAAGCATGGGAGAGATTGTTATTTAGTTACCATGGAGACAAATACTGAAGAATTTGCCCAGGCATGAGGTTCAGTAAAGGCTTCATTTAGGAAATAGCGTGTCAGTTGAGACTTGAAAATTAAATGGAAATTTGTGGAACATATTTTGGCAAAGAAGAAGGTGTGTGGGAACCTAGGAGGGAAAAGGTTTGGGATGTCGGGAAACGGGAAAGGCTAGTGTATGTGGAGAGAGAGGTGAGTGAGACTGACTTGAAGATTCGCTGGGTTTGAACCCCAGCACCAGGGAAGCCACTGGGTCTTTTCATCTTCCTTATTATGATCCCACTGAGGTCCTGCCCCTTCAGTCAGGCTGGTGTGGGACATTTCTTAGCTCTAATGCTTACTGCCTTTTAGGCCTTTTTTATTATAGCATAGACAAACAAAACACTTCAAGTAAGAGTGCAATTTACAGGAGAAAGCAGGGCAGAGTAGCATTCTGGGAAGGTGGAGGTCTGATTAGAGCAGCTAGAGCCAGAAAGATGGCCACACAGGGAAGGGGGTACTCCTGAGGTTGGAAGCCTCCTAGGGAGAGGATTCAAGATGGGGTCAGGGTCAAGATAAACATTTTCTTCTTTCTTTTCTTTTTCTTTTTTTTGATATGTATTTAATATGTCTGAGCATTTGCCTGCATATGTGTGTACATATATGTTGTATGTACCACATGCATGCATGGTGCCCAAGAGTCCATTAGAGGGTGTTGGATTCCCTGGAACTGGAGTTACAAATGGTTGTGAGCCACCATGTGAGTGCTGGGAACTGAACCTGAGTTGCGTGTAACAGCAAGGGCTCCTAACTGCCAAGCCATCGCTAGCCTAAGATAGCATTTTCTACATAGACTCAGGTTGTTCCTATCAAGGACAGCCTGAATATGGGTCTTCTGGGGCCTTTAGCTCTCGAACCTCCAGGCATAGAGCAGTCTGGATGAACACGACAGCTTAATCTGCGTGTGGGAAGTCTTTCTTGGCTGAAAGGCTTCCATTGCCATAGAGCAGAGCCTCCAGGTAACTACTCATGCTTGGTGTAGGGTGACCTGCATGCCTGGTCATGTCCTTGAGGCTTTGGCGCTCTGCTGTCCTTGGGTAGAGGGGCCAAGCTCTTTGCCTTATGTTCCCAGATGAGTGATGTAGAAGCTGGAGGTGCCACTGTCTTCCCTGACCTGGGAGCTGCAATTTGGCCCAAGAAGGTAAGCGTGATTCTTCAGGGTCACACGTTTGAGCAGGGCTCAGACCTTGTTTCTGTCCCCCGGTGCCATTGACTGTCTACTTGACTGTCAATGTGATGTGCCTTAGTTCCTTCCCACCTGCGCCCTGGACTGTGGTCCCAACTTCCACCCAGGGAGAAGGGATGGGGAGAGAAGACCCTTCAGGGCAGGTGGGTTTCTGACCTTCCTTCTATTTGAGGGATAGGTGCTTTTGAACCCTGTCCCCCAAAGACAGGAAGGGGGGCATTTCTGCCGAGGGGTGGATGGTTCTAGATTCTTAGAGCGGGCCCTTGTGACTTGGTCTTTAAGATGTGCTCTGACAGCTCGTCTCTTTCCCAGGGCACAGCTGTATTCTGGTACAACCTTCTGCGGAGTGGGGAAGGGGATTATCGAACGAGACATGCGGCCTGCCCTGTGCTTGTGGGCTGCAAGTGGGGTGAGTGGGGAAGGGATTATCGAACGAGACATGCGGCCTGCCCTGTGCTTGTGGGCTGCAAGTGGGGTGAGTGGCTGGGGCGGGGGGGTGTTGATGGGGTCTCGGCTGTAGATGCAGTGGTGGAAACAGCTGCTAACTGCTGTCAGGTCTGCACATCACAAAAGGTTTCCTTGGCTGCTTGTACCACCCAGGCAGAGCTCCTGCAGCTGGTTGTCAATGCTCAAGAGATGCTCAGAGAGTCAAGGAAGCCTGGGCTGCGTAAGCACCATAGGTCCAGGTAGCTTTTCAGAGAAGTGGGCTCTGGCAAGGGTTTTAGTGGAGAATAGAGCTGGAAGCAGAAGGGAGGGAGGGTGCCTGTGTGAGGCCAGCAAGACACTTGTGGCTACAACCAGCATCTTAGGTAACAGGCTTGGGAGGACTGGCTGTCCTTGTCACTTGAAGAAGGGGAGGCCTGAGATGAGCCTGGTCTGAGAGATGAGATTGGAGGCTGGGACAGACCACAGAGGATGAACTTGAGCCTTACTCTGGAGCAGCTGTGGAGAGCTAGGAAAGGCGTGGACTAGAATGTGACAGGAAAGGATCACATGCATTTATAACCCTTGGAGTGTGGGAGGTTTACTGATAAGTTTACAGAAAAGGTAAAGTAAACAAATGAAATTGAGGTAGTTGCTGATCTGGGAGGAAAAAGTATCTTAGGTAACAGGTATCTTAGGTAGGTCTAATTTACTAGATGTCGAAAGTGTGGCACTAACCCGACACACGGAAGCACTGCGTGTTTAATTTTAACTGGTTTATCATTGCACTACATAGGCTGCTAATCAAGTCTTCTAGACAGTTCCTTTAGTTATGTACAGGTATTAAATTGTATTTTAAAATCTCTGACTTTAGTAGTGCATTACTTTAAAAACGTGTGTGTGTGTGTGTGTGTGTGTGTGTGTGTGTGTGTGTGTGTGTGTTTACATGTGCTATGTTACATGTGTGCAGGTCAGAGGACAGTTTGAAAGAATTGGTCCTCTTTTTGCACATTGTGGGTTCTGGGGATTAAGCTCAGGTTACTGGGCTCCTGACATGAGCCGTGCCATCTGCCTGCATTACTCTATTTCTTACGAGAGAGTTCGTGTTTGAGGAACGGAGTCTTGGTGCATGCCTGTGACATGCAGTGCTGATACCTGTGCTTCAGCTAGGGTGCCCACAGCATTGAGATTCTGCTCTGTCACTCACGGGGCCTGAGGCTCGCGGCCAGGCCCTGTACACTGTGTGCAGGTTCCCCGTCCTCTCCTCTCAGTTTCTACTCGCCACTGTCCCAGCTTCTTGAGGTCCTTCACACTTAGCAGAGGGGCCTCTGCCTTTGAGGACCTTCCCACGCCACTTCCTGCATCCAGCCCACTTAGAGTGAGTGGCAACCGTATGATATGCCCCGCCCTCTTTCCAGGATGACTTCCTGTTCTGTGTCAGTACTGCTTCCCTAACATCATGAGATGTTCCCATGGCAACCTACATATATGCATTGAATCACTGGTAGACATTTGTGTGTAAAGTTACCTGCGTGTCTGTGTGTTTTCAGCAGGCTTGAGGTCTGAGCCGGGTCGCTCTGGGGCCTTATCCCCGGAGCACAGGGCAGTGGTCGTCATGGAGGAAGCATTCATTTTGGCTGCTGACCTGATAGGTTGAATCATCACATACTTGCTTTCTCTTCACAGTCTCCAATAAGTGGTTCCATGAACGAGGACAAGAGTTCTTGAGGCCTTGTGGGACAACAGAAGTCGATTGACGTCCTTTGCTCTGCCCTTTCCTGGCCCCATAGCCAAGTCATCAAGTTCAGCGTGACGGATTCCTTTGTGTGTTCCAGCTCCTGTCAGGCAGGTCATTGGAGGAGCCAGTGTTTGTCTGAATTTGAGAGAGTGTGTCCTGGGCCGAGTCCTGGGTGACCTGGGCCCCAGACTCTGGCCAGCCTATGCTTCCTCTGGCTCCAAGGGTAGCATTGGTGTGGCTGCTGCAGAACCAGACTGTGTAGCACCTCGGTCGGTGCCTTCGTACCTCAGATGTTTCAGGTGGGAGATGTTTTAGTGAAACCAAAGTTCTGATGCTGTGTTTACAGGTTTGTTTTTATGACATTTCTATTTGTTGTGGCTTTAACCAAAAAATAAAATCTCCCTGCCAGAAGCCTTAAATAGCCTTATTTTGGAGCGTTTGGGGTTTGTTGTTGTTGTGTTGTTTTGTGTTTTTTTTGTTTTGTTTTTTTTTTTTTTTTGGTTTTTCGAGACAGGGTTTCTCTGTGTAGCTTTGCGCCTTTCCTGGAACTCGCTTTGGAGACCAGGCTGGCCTCGAACTCACAGAGATCCACCTGGCTCTGCCTCCCGAGTGCTGGGATTAAAGGCGTGCGCCACCACCGCCCGGCGCTGTTTTGTGTTTTTAATCCAGGAACTGAGGCTGGCTCAGTTCAAAAGGACACACACACACACACACACACACACACACACACACACACGGACCTGAATTCTGACTTCCAGCATTTACATAAAAGTCGGGTCTGGCAGTGCGTGCCTGTGATCCCAGTGCTGGGGAGGTGGAGACAGGAAGACCCTTGGGACTTGCCAAAATTGGGGAGCTTCAGGCTCCTAAAATACCTAAAGTGGATGGCTGGTCTCCACCTGCATGTGCACACACAAACACGCTCACACATGAATGTGTACACACACAATCCAGGAGCTCTGACCAGTTCCACCACTTTGTATGTCTCCACTGTGCAGACATTCTGCAGAGCACAGCCCTAGCCTTGGGTTCTAAAGCTGGTTTTAACACCCATGTGCCCTCTAGGCTTGTGTACTTTTCTGGAAACTGGAGGTAAATAATCTCATCTGGCCACCCAGAGAACATAGAAAGAACACGTGCTCACAGTTGGGATGCTGTTAGTGTTCAGTTTGGGATGTGTACACTGTGTTGTCCCTGGCTGGAACTTTTCCAATCAGCGCTCAGAAGCCACGTGGGTTCCTCCTGCCTGATACCTCCTTCCCTGTCCAGGAAGCTCAGGGATAACCATGGGATAGTGATTTGTGGTCACCATTGAAGTTTCCCTCCTGTGACCAGGTCACTGAACACAGTAACTTTATTTTCATTGACTGTGTTCTTAACTGAGTCAGAATATACATATATTCAGAATAAATATATATATATATATATATATATATCTGTTTTGCTGCTTTCGTTTGGTATTGTTTTAAAGATTTGTCTGTATTTTCATGGAGTTTGTTTCTACAGTTCATGCAGGGCCCTCTAGAGAAACAGAACCAACAGGATGAATATATATTACAAAGGGGATCTATTAGATTGGCTTACAGGATGCGGGCTGGGTAGTTCAACAGTGGCCAGCTACACTCTGGAGAGGCTGAGAACCAGCAGTGGTTCAGTCTAGGAGGTTTGTGACTAGTTGTCCCAATCTGGTGCTGAAGGCCTGAGGACTTCTGGAGAGTGACCAGTCCTCAGTCCGCATTGAAAGATGGAAGAGGCTTCATTGTGATGGCGGTGAAGGCTGGCAGCAGTGGCAGCCACACTGGACACACTCACCAGCAAGACCAAAAGGCAGGCACGGAAGAGTAGGAGCACTGCTGTTTTGGACTTTGCATCTGGACTTCCACAGGAAGGTGTTGTGTACTGTGGAAGAAGGTCCTCTTGCTTCCGTTAATCCCTCCTAGAAGTGCCCTCATAGAGCTGCCAAGAGGTGTGTCTCTTAGTTGACTTCAGATTCTATGATGTTGGCACTCAAGATAAATCATAATACAGTCAACACTCTACCGATGGGCATTTCAGTCTTTGTATAGTATGACAAAGGATGTGATAAGCAATTTTACACATGATTTCTGAGTTACATTTCTTGAGAATATTTACCTAGGAATGGAAATGTGAACTTGTAATTGGTGAGTCTTAAGTGTTACCACATGATGTATTACAGTGTGATATACACACATGCACAAGGAGTAAATGGAAGTTCCTACCCAACCTCCCTCCAGTGTCTGAAAGTGACTGCTGAACTTTGCCAGAACAAGGTGGGACAGTCCTTCAAAATTCCTGCTTCACAGAAGAGTCTGCCAGATATTCTAGGCCGGTAGGTCAAAGAGTGGATGCCCAGTATTACAGAGGAACCTTGGGTGGATGTCCAGGCAGCCAGATGTCTGTGGTTTCTATAGGTTTGGAAGTGGCTTGCACTGCACTTTCTGTTTACTCAGGTTAATAGTATATCTCTCTGGAGTCTTTGATGGAGTTGAAGACTAGATACAGTTGCAGTTATTCTTATTTATGACAGAAGGTAAATTAGGTACAAAACTTTGGACTCACCAAGATAGAATAAGTAATGGAGTATTTTCTCTGAATTTGCAAAATACAAATAGTCTGGATATTGTAAATGTAATCCTTACTTGATAATTGTTCTTGTTGTGTACAGTTTTACTATGTTAAAGTTGAAGTCCTTTCTCATTTAGACAAAAAGGGGGAAATGCGGAGCATTAACTAGGTAAAGATGTGTTACATTTGTTTATGCTGCAGAATATTACCTTAATTGTGTAAAGGTGTTGTTACTTCTGTTTATGCTTCATTTGTTTAACAGTGTAAGGATGTGTGTTTAATTATATAAAGATGTGTTGCATCTGTTTCACCTTGCCTGCCTCAGGCACCTAATTCATCGAATAAGGAGCTGAATGGCCAATAGCTAGGCTAGAGAAGGGGTAGGCGGGGCTAGTAGGCAGAGAGAATAGGAGAAATCTAGGCTCAGGAATGAAAAAGAAGAAGAAGAGAAGGAAGAGGAAAAAACAAGGGACACATAGAAACCAGGCAGCCTACCAGCCATCAGACACAGGAAGCATTTAGTAAGATTTACAGAAAGACTGTAAAAAGCCCCGAGGCAAAAGGTAGATTAACAAAACAAAACAAAGCAAAACCGGTTAATTTAAGTTAAAAGAAACATGCCTAAGCTAGGCCAAGCATTCAAAACTAATAATAAGTCTCTGTGTCATAATTTGGGAGCTAGTTGGTGGCCCCAAAGAAAAAGCCTGGTACAGCTTACACTTCCATATCAGATCATTGAAGGAAGTCAGGACAGGAACTCAGGCAGGGCAGCATCCTGGAGGCAGGAGCTGATGCAGAAGCCATGGAGGGGTGTTGCTTATTGGTTTGCTCCTCAGGGCTTGCTCAGCCTGCCTTCTTATGAAACCCAGGACTGTCATCCGGGGATGGCACCTCCCGTAATGGTCTGGGCCCTCTCAGTCAATCACTAATTAAGAAAATGTCGTACAGGCTTGCCTACAGCTCAGTCTACAGAGGCATTTTCTCAGTTGAGGCGCCCTCCTCTCAGGTGGCTATAGCTTATGTCAAGTTGACGTAAAACTAGCCAGCACACGTGATTTTATGAAAGATATCCCAGAGAGCTCTCTGTCTTCTTGTCATGTAAAAAAGATAGCAAGAAGATGGCGGACGCGGACGAGGAAGACACACTCACCAGACAATCTGCTCGCACTGTGGTTTTGATACTCCACGTGAAATAAACGCAGTAAACAGATCATCTTGCCCGGTGTGTCGTGTTTTATTACGGCAGCCCTCCCTGAGTGAGATGGTACCTATTGATGCTTATTGGTGATGCTGCACACCCTTTCATGTTTTTTTTGTTTTTTTTTTTTTTTTTGGTTTTTCGAGACAGGGTTTCTCTGTGTAGCTTTGCGCCTTTTTCCTGGAACTCACTTGGTAGCCCAGGCTGGCCTCGAACTCACAGAGATCCGCCTGGCTCTGCCTCCCGAGTGCTGGGATTAAAGGCGTGCGCCACCACCGCCCGGCCCCTTTCATGTTTCTTAGTCATCAGGTTTCTTCTTCAAGTTTTTCTTACTGATTCGCAGACATTTTAATTTTGTTCGTTATCTTCTCCAGATGCCTATTTTGTGGGGTGTCTTTTCCATGTTTAGTTCTGATAAAATGAAGGCTATCCCATCTTGTTGCTCTTCTGAAGGTAGCCCCTCATCTTGACATTGACTTTTAACATCTTTATCTTCATTTTCTCTTGTCATGGTTTTGTTGTGATGTAGTATGGGATTCCTTTACCTGTTTTCCTTCTGGACATTTAAAGAGCATTCTGAATTTGCCAGTTGAGGTCTTTGATGAGTTCCAGAAATTTCTCAGACATTGCATCTTTTGAGTATTGTTTCTGTCCCGATTTTTCCCTTCCCTCCCTCTCTGAGACTCCGGTAAATCGGGTTGATAGAAGCATGTGTGTTCTACCCTTCCTTTTGTGTCCCTCAGCCTCCCACCCCCCAGATGCTCAAGATTACATACTTCACTGATGATCTGTTTTGTAGTTCATTTGTCCGCTTCTCACCTCCTTTCCTCCCCTTCCCCGTCTGCCCCTCTCCGTACCTCCTTTCCTCTCCTGCTCCCTCCCGGTGCTGGGATTGAACCCAGAGCCTCACACGTGCTAGGCAAGCACTTCTACCCCTGAGCTCACCCCAGCTTATTTCGTTTTTTAAAGATTTATTTTTATTTATGTGTCTTTGTGGCCAGAAGAGGGCGTCGGATCTGGATCTGGAGTTACAGGCAGTTGTGAGCCGCCTGATGTGGGTGCTGGGACCCCACTCGATCCCCTCGACTGCTGCGTGATCTCTCCTGCCCCTTCGTTGGTTTTTTTAGTTCTGGGTCTAGTTCTCTGGGGAATTGTTCTTTTATTTCCTCCATGTTTTTCTTGGATCAATGAAAACAATTACTTGAAAGTTCTTGTTTGGTAATGTCATGGTTTTTGTGTTCTGTGGCTCTCTTTCTATTTTTTTTTAATCCTCTTGTTTTTCTGGTTGTTTGGTCTACTCTTGGCACTTGATTGAATTCTGAGTGCTGTGTGTGACAAATCATAATAACCCTGGACGGTGATGACCTCCTGCACGGGGGCTCACACTATACTAGGCACAGAGTGTTGTGGAATATTATTTTAACTAGGCAAAGATGTGTTACATTTCTTTATGCTGCAGAATATTATTTAACTGGGTAAATGTGCGTTACATTTGTTTCTGCTGCATTTGTTTAACGATGTAAGGATGGGTGTTTAGTCATGTGAAGATGTGCTGCATCTGTTTCACCTTGTCCAGCTAAGGCACCAGATTGGTCTAATGAAGAGCTGAACAGCCAGTAGCTAGGCA